CTTTCTTTCTTTCTTTCTTTCTTTCTTTCTTTCTTTCTTTCTTTCTTTCTTTCTTTCTTTCTTTCTTTCTTTCTTTCTTTCTTTCTTTCAAATATTGAAATTAACAATACAACAGTAAAGAAAATAAACCAACAGGAGGATAAATCAAACATTTTATTAATCAGAAAACAAAAACAAACACAGGGTATGTTTTGGAAAGAGCAGGAAGAAATAAGATGCTTTTCATGTCCTGTCCCAAATGATAACAGTAACTTTCTGTTTGCCATGTCCCAAAAAATGTCAATGACATCACTGTAGTTGACTGGAACATCCTTCTCAACTGCCAATGAAAGAAGGTCTGACAACCTCTCCTCTGAGCAAAGGGTGCAGTTTGTTTTTAACTAGTTTTAGTTTTGAGAAAGAATGCTCCCCAGTTGCTGTGGACACCAGGAGTGTTCCATATGTCTTCAGCAGCTCAGTCATGTTGGGGAAGATCAGATGTGCATTGTTTTCTTTGACCACTGAAAGAATGGATGCCACACTGACTGGTGTTTTTTTTTCCAGTTCTCTGGGACTGTCAGGGTATGCAAGGCATTCAAGATTTCCCATGTGGAATTATCTCCTCCTCCTAACATGTCTCAGAAGCTCCTGTGTCATTGTGTCAACAAAAACACAGAACTCTTTAACACAGTAGTATGCTTGGGGAGTTGTGAAAGCATGGTCATCAGCAGTAGCTGTTGTGGCAGCAAACTTAAACTTTGCTGGCACTTTCCTCCTCCGAGCTTGTCCAGGGACCTCAGATGGAGTGTCCAGACCCACTGATGCCGTCTTCTCTCTAGCCTGTTCATAAATTTTCTCAAACTCTTCCTCTGTTTTACTGTGTTCCAGGCTCTGCAAAACATCATCAACAATCTTGTATGCTGCAGCCATGTCAAAGTCTTTCTTCTGCAATGCATCAGATGCAGTAGCAGTCACTTGGAAGATGGGACAGGTGATCTCCAGACACAGGATGAATTCAAAACTGATGCTTTTGAGAAGGATCATTGCATCACCTGCTGAAGAGTCTGGAGGATCTTGCTGTAGTATTTCAGCTGGGAGGATCTTCCTCATTGTCTTGAGGGCAGCTTCTCTGCAGGCTCACCTAGTGTCTGACAGCCCCATCATAACCTTGACCCCAGATGTTGTCAATCTTCAGATTATTGCATTTCTGCTTGGATGACACGTCTTACTGATGTGGCCAAAACTTTGATTCTGACTTTGTTCTGACTTCTGTTAGAGAGAAGCGAAACGAGAGGTCTTTTTCCAGCTCCCTGTCGCTCTTTTATGGCATTAAGGTGTAATTTAATTACACTGCCATACTTGCTGAACAACTCAACTAACTCTGAGAAATTTCCTTGATTTTGACTTGACAAGGTCTCATCATCTCCCCTGAAAGGCATACCCTGTCTTGCCAGGTAAAGAGTGATGTCTATAAAACAAGACAAAATTTCTGTTTCTCTCTCTTTGTCTTTTACAGCTTGTGACACTTGGTCAGCTACTTCAAAGGCTGCCTCCAAGATTTTTTTTAATGAGTTCTACCTCACCATACCACACATGTGAGACTCTGAGGCACTGTGTGTTTTAATCTAAGGAGCTTGGAGAGAAAAGCGTCTGGACTTCTTTAAGTTGCTTGAAGACGTTTCACCTCTCATCCGAGAAGCTTCTTAAGTTCGAGGGTCAAATGGTGGAGAGTCCCTGTGGGAGTAACCCCCCAAAGAGGGACAAAAGGACCCCCTGATTGATCCTCTACCTAGTCACATGAGCCAAGGCGTGAAAACTGGTGTGGGTCACAATCAGCCAGGGTTTCTGGTGAGCTCATTGTGAAACCTGGCCCCACCCTATCATGTGATTTCCTGAGGTCAGATGGCCCAGGGTGTGAGTGGGTGTTAAGGGGTCTGGGAAGGGATCTCAAAAACTGGATTATAGATGGCAGACAGTTGGTGTCGTAAACATGCGCCTCTGTTCAAAGATGGTCGCTCACAGTGGACATAGATGGCTTCTTTCACTCCTCTTTCAAACCATCTGTACTCTCCAGTGTTGGTCAAGTTACTTGAAAAAACTAATCAGTAACTAATTACTGATTACTTCCCAAAAAAGTAATCCTGTTACTTTACTGAGTAAAGTAATTAATTACTTAGTTACTTTTTAAAAACACGATTTACAA